TTCAGTCACGCCTCTCTTCCGTATGTGCAAACTCAGAAGCACACATTTCATACCATAAACTTACTGTCACCATTTTGTCATTTAAGACTCCAGCGGTACAAGGAATGTAAAAAGCACAAGTTAGCTTTTAACATTTTCTTCAGGCATCTCATGCTCTCTTATCAGACTTGCAGTGCTAACTGATTAACCAGTTTAGTAAGCAGTTTTTATTTGAGTGATAAGTGTGGTGCAGTTGTGAATCTAGGATCTCACTGTAGTTTGTACCAGGTGAATATCTTCTATGTGTTTGTACCTTTACTGTATATATATCATCCTTGGCTATTTGGGTTATCCCTAAGGTTCGAAAGCATTGCATCATTTAACATGTCTGAACAAAGGAAAGTAGAACACTCCCTCAGTTTCCCTTCATAGGTTACGGCAAGAAAAAGCTTTCACACAGCCAGCACATTGCAATATGCTTCTCGGACTTTGTTCTCTTTTATGTGGTTCATACATATAGCATGTTTGTCTTAAGATTTCATATAAAATTGTATGAAGAAATTTCACTCCTTATTCATCAGTTTTAGATCTTGTGTTGTGACAAGCCAAAATCTGTTGTTGAAAATAGTACTCGAGAAAACTGGAGGTGGGGTGAATTTTCTTTTTTCAAGGAGTTTTAACTCTTCACTGAACCTCGCAAGTGTTGTTCAGACGGCTTGTGATTTTTTTAGGATATACCTAGTCACTTAAGTCTAATTTCCCAGTTTGGAATTCCCAATTACCTTTCAACCTCTCTTCCCACTGCTCTCCCATGTTTACCTTGCAAAGCTGGATTCACACAGACATTGCTGTCATACCGCCCACTTGTCTTCACACTCCCGAGGCCGGAACAGAAGCCTCGAAGCTCAGTCATCTGGGGGAACAGCACTGCTCCCTCTGACACTGCCCAGATCCTCTCTCTCACAGCCATTGACAGGGCCTGGTTTTTCAAGGCAGGCTAGGATGTTCCTGCTGAGCAGCAGTGTGGAGTTGAGGTGGACATGGACTTACTGTATACCTTAGAGTTTATGGGTTCACGTCCTCAGTGGATGTGTTGGATTAATGTGCTATCCAAATT